GTTGGTGGGTTGTTGGCCGGCAGGTATCCTTGGCTGTCAAATTTGGAGGGTCTTGGCTTGCAAGGCGCAGTGCCCCTGTCAGCTGTGCCCTTGTGCAGCCCTCAGGAGAGTTTGGGAGGGGTCTGCGTTTTTCCTGGTGGTGCCCATTCGCACGCACAACTGTATTCCGCACATGGATGGGAGAGAGTAGAGGGAGCATTGGTGGGGAGTCTTAGCTGGCAGAGGTGTGTGGGGGAGTCTGGGCTGGTGGGGGTGTGTGGTTGGGGAGTCTTGGGCTGGTCATGGGGGCGTCTTGTTGGCGTAGCTGGAGGGGGTTTCTGAAGTGGGGTGTATTTGGTTCTAGTGTGGGGGGGTATAGGTAAGGAGCCTTAAAGGTAGGGGTGAAAGGAGGGATTTGGAAGGTGACTGGGGAGGGCAGAAGGGTTGGTTGAGAAGAAATGTGGGGAATTGGTTAGCCTGAGGGGAATCCAGTTGAATGGGTCCTAGAAGATTTGGGGGATGTAGAAAGGGCTGAGTTCCCTCTGCTCTCTGGAGGATTATCACATAGAAGTGGGGATGAGGGGAGAAAACTAATTCTGGAAAAATGGATTCTAGTTCATGGCAATTGGCAGGTTTGGGTCTTGGTCTTGGGCTCCCTATTAACTCTCCTGTGCACTCTGATGAGTCCTCAGCTGGAGTAAACAAAAATGAAGTAAACATAAGTCACGTGAGTTCTAGGGGAAATGGTCTGTCAGTGCTTAAGGAGAGAGAAGAAAATCTAGCTAGCTAGCTAATAAGTGGTGCTTTAAAATCAAGTGCTTAACAAATACTTCAATTTTCTTTGTGGCAGAATTCCACAGTCGTGTATTCTTAGGGTTGTTTTTTTTTTTTTAATCTAGGAAAAAATTAAAAAGTACATCCAAGTATATTTATCAGACTCTGTTTTTGAATGGTGAAAATAGTGATATTAAGATCTGTGCTCTGGGAGAGGAATGGAACTTGCACAAGATATATTTGTGTCAGGTAGGTGATTTTTTTTTCTTTGTAGTAGAAATATTTTGATAAATTAAACAATATGTAAATTTCAAGGATAGATCTGTTTTTTTCTCCATCAGTTTCCTTCCCTCCATTGACCATTTTCCAGTTTCTAATTCTATTTTTTTCTTTACGTTTAAAAGCATGAAGTACCTATCTTGTGCTTCAGATGCTCTGATAATGGAACACAGTTGCCAGTCACTGATCCAGGCCTCTTATCCTTTTGTGTAAACTTTCTAAAGATTTGTGGACTTGTATAGGAGCTGTGCACACAATTAATTAAATACTGCAATTTACCTGCTAATCTGTGTAACCAATAAGAACAATTAATGGCCAGTTCTCTGCAGTAAAATGAATTATCTGCATGCATAAAGCTAACAGTGTTTATGTGTGAAGGCAAAAATGTGAACAGCTTTTTCCATCCCCCAACTTGGATGAACTTTCAGAGTATAGTATTACATTGATTACAGCACTGTGTGAAAATACATTTAGGAAAGCCTTTGTTACAGGGCTTGTGAAGAATACTATACTTCAAAAAATATGTGTTCCTTTCCTTTCTGTGCTAGTCTGAAGAACTCTGGTTTCAAAAAGACCAAGACAGTGACTGTGAAAACAGTTACTATCTACTTAGTCTCTTAAAAAGACAGTGCAAAGGATGCTGATAATGTAGAGTTTTGTTTCTAAAACAGAGATTATGGTTATCACCATTGATCCTTCTGTTTTGAGATTATTGTGATTTTAAGCTTTCTTTCTTAATATCTCAAGCAAGCAAGGAGTATACAAGCAGTCCCCGGGTTACGTACAAGATAGGGACTGTAGGTTTGTTCTTAAGTTGAATCTGTATGTAAGTCGGAACTGGCGTCCAGATTCAGCCGCTGCTGAAACTGATCAGTTTCAACAGCGGCTGAATCTGGATGCCAGATTCAACTTAAGAACCCCAGG